ATTTTATTCCAAAGAACTAGCATCAATTAAATTTATAAACTTATTATTAAAAGAAAAAAGAATTTTCTATACAGGAATTTTATGTATTTTGATAAAAATTACAGTATTTTGTACAAAATTGTTATTTAAATCTATTTTTATAATAGTTCATGATAAAATTGATAAATTTTTTTCTAGTCAAAAATTATTGTACCTGCATTATCTTTTAAAATGATATAATGTACAACTATACATTATATGGTTAGTGGTTTATTTCTAGTCAAAGAAACTATTGATAAATAAATAAATTATATATTTATTTAATATTCTCGACTACTTTTATAAATGAAGAATAATGTTGATTTTTAAAAATATTATGAAAAAATTTATATATATATTTTTTGAAATATAAATAAATTTAAAATTTATATTTTATTTTGAGTCATTTTTATTTCATAAAGAGATTTTAAAATGTTGTTTTTGATATTATGATTTATTTATAATTTAAAATACAATTTTTTCTGAAATTTTAAACATGTAGATGAAAGAAATAGATATTATCTCAAACTTTATAATACAGTGGAACCCCGGTTAACGAATGTAATCCATTCCACAAGTCCGTTCGTTAACTGAATTGTTCATTAACCGAAGCAATTTTTTCCATAGAAATTAATGCAAATACAATTAATCTGTTCTAGCCATCAGTATTTTTGTAATTTTATTTGTAAAATGGGTTTTATTTGATGAGAATATAAGAAAACGTAGTATCTATCATTACAGCAACAAATATGTAAACTTTATTTAATAAAGTAGCACTGTACATACCTTTGTTTCTACGGAGCTTAATGTTTGGAAGAGGAATCCCCTCCATAAAAAGGTTAGGTTAGGTGTCTCGCGGACCGCTCCAGTCATTGCAGCTCTGTCACCTACCATCGCTTCTGTGGCCAAGCGAACCCATCTCGTCCACTCTGGGGCTAAGACTGATCAGCTTGCACTATCGTAGGACCAGCGATACGCCACTCCTCAGTGCCGAGAGAAAATGCTGTAGATAAGCCATTTCCAACCACCTCAAATATGTAAGCATCTTCCCGTTCTAATAAATGATTTTCACTGTAAAATACTTGTCATCTTTGTCTCCTACGCCACCACTAACGTATGAATGGACCCTAGAGCATCACTGACACACGATTAACTGATTCCCCCTAAAAGTTGGGATACAAGCTTACAAATTTGACACAAAAAGCCGTTAAGTTCGTTATCCGAATTTTGTTCGTTATCCAAGACAAAACTTTTGCAAAATAAAAGTTTGTTAATTGATTTGGTTGTTAACCAGGACGTTCGTTAACCAGGTTCCACTGTACATGTACTTTGAAATAGTATTATAAAGTTTTATAATACCGTACTGTAATTATTATTCTACATACTGTAATTAAGAACTGATTTATAACAAATCTATATAATGCAGTTAAGAAAACATTGTTTATTGCATACTTTTTATATTTTTATATGTGAAAACAAGATATCTTATCAATGAAACTGGGTCATTCATCTAGAAATGTTTTTAGTCTTTATTAAGCCATCATAAGCTCTTAAAGAATAGAATATATTTGAATTTCAGAAAGGAATAACATAGAATAGAATTTTAAATTAACAAATTACCAACCACAATTTTATAGAATATTGATAATTAACATATTAAATATATAAATTTTTATCTGTTAAATAAGCTTATTATTTCATTATTTTGAATCAAATACTCTTCTTTCTTTCACACATTCTCAAACTGAGAAGCATCACAAGCATTAATGATATTGGTATTCATATACATTTTCTTTAAATGTATCTGTTCTGGTAGACAGATTGCACAATTCATATATTTTAAAACAGAAATATTCCAAAAAACTGAGTTTAGTGTCTTTTGCCCATTGTGCCAGAGCAATGCAGTTATTATTCCTATTAATCAAAGCACAATGTTCATTAAAGTAAATATCTAATAATCTAATCATAGAACTGATACAATAGAAATTTTCTACCTTTTTTTTTTTTTTTTTACAAACTTTATTTAATANTATAACAAATCTATATAATGCAGTTAAGAAAACATTGTTTATTGCATACTTTTTATATTTTTATATGTGAAAACAAGATATCTTATCAATGAAACTGGGTCATTCATCTAGAAATGTTTTTAGTCTTTATTAAGCCATCATAAGCTCTTAAAGAATAGAATATATTTGAATTTCAGAAAGGAATAACATAGAATAGAATTTTAAATTAACAAATTACCAACCACAATTTTATAGAATATTGATAATTAACATATTAAATATATAAATTTTTATCTGTTAAATAAGCTTATTATTTCATTATTTTGAATCAAATACTCTTCTTTCTTTCACACATTCTCAAACTGAGAAGCATCACAAGCATTAATGATATTGGTATTCATATACATTTTCTTTAAATGTATCTGTTCTGGTAGACAGATTGCACAATTCATATATTTTAAAACAGAAATATTCCAAAAAACTGAGTTTAGTGTCTTTTGCCCATTGTGCCAGAGCAATGCAGTTATTATTCCTATTAATCAAAGCACAATGTTCATTAAAGTAAATATCTAATAATCTAATCATAGAACTGATACAATAGAAATTTTCTACCTTTTTTTTTTTTTTTTTACAAACTTTATTTAATATATTGGTCTTACCTAATTTTTATTTTTAAATGTTTATATTTTATTGTAAATAGATTTTTTTAAAATTAATTTATTACTTAATATTTAGTTTAGCTAAAAATATAATTTATTCTAATTAGAACAATTTTAATATAATTTACTGTATAATTATAAATACAGTAATTTTATTTAAATAAATCTCAAAAAATGAAATTTTTGAAAAAATATACATTTTTAGAAAACTGTAATTCTCCAAAACTAAATTTAGTTTTAATAAAAAAATATATGCTTTGATATTGGATGAAACTGTTGAACATGCCCAACATCCTACAGCAGGGCCCCCCGACCAGGATCATTGGTGAGCCCCTACCCCTCTTGAATAATTACTGATAATTTTAGTGACAAAGAAGAAAATTATGAAAATGGCAAAAAGACACGGAAGATATTGTTCGGCTCTCAATTATCATAATTGTAAACAAAAAATTATGATAAAAGTTTTTTCAGCTTTCCTCATGACTCAGAAAGGTAATTTTTATACTTTTATGATTGTTATATTAAGTTAATAATAGTATCTTAGAATATTAATTAAACTATGTCAAGAATTAAATATTCCAATTAAATTGAACTCAATATTCCACAACAAAATCCAAGCAAAAGCAAAAAATACAAGCTGGCCATAGTCATACCAGGCCTCATGAACCTGGGCCACCTGACTAGGGTCTAGTCAGTCACTACCATGTTGGGGCCATGCTATTGAGTATTTTAAAAACTTTAGAATTTTTTATATTTTTATGTAAAGTTTCATTGCATACTTTGCTGATCATAGGTGCCAATTCTAACTCACTATGAATATTAATAATGAGATTAAATAACTTATGAATTGTGCATGATGATGAGCAACAGTTAATTTACATGATTAGAAAACCTTGGATATATGTACTGTATATATATCCTTAAAGTTTTTCTAATCATGTAAATATACACAGTGTAATTGAAATTGGTGCCAATAATTTACAGAGATATTTTAGGATCAAAAATACACCTAAAATCCTCTGTAAAGGTTTCTCAAAATCTATTTTGTTTTTTCAAGATATGGCCTGCCAAAAAATTATGTCAGAAATAAATTTTAAATCACCTGCCAGCATAAAGGTAGCTATTTGGTCACTGTAGCATGTGCCATTATATGCTTTAAATTTCTAATATTTTCTATGCTTTTTTTTTCTTTCTTTGTTTTTACTTACTGTTTTAGTGGAAAAACAAATTGGAATACTTATTCCTTTTATATTCATATTTAAATAAGCTGATTTTCCAATTGGGTTTTTGGGATGCAATTTTAAAAAATTGTAGACATATAAATTCCCACTGTCATCAGTTTTTGTCTTTCCTTAATCTCAAATGGAGCTAGATAGATGAAATTCGAGACCAGATATGGAAATCTTAGGGGCAGGAGGCTCTGTTCAACTATATATGAATGTCCGATGCAAACTGGAAGTCATGTTATTTTAATTCAAAACTTTTCCCCTGAAATCAGTTAATAATGAGTATGATGAGGGCAAGACACTACAGTACTAATTTGAGGTGGAGAGCATATATTTTAAATGAAATAAATTAAAAATATGATTAAAAAATTGTGGCCTGGCATTGTGACAATTTCACAATAAATAATTGCTCATAGAACTATAAATTTCCACTGTCGTCTGTGTTGTCTGTCCTTCCTTAATCTTGAGAACAGAGTTAGATAAATGAAAGCTGAGATGAGATATGGAAAGTTTAGGGGCAGAAGATCCCAATTAACTGTATATGAACTTTGGATGCTAACTGGAAGTCATATTATTTCAATTCAAAATTTTTTTTTCAAAGGTGTTAGCAATACAGATCTTTCTAACAGGAAAAGTATGATGAACAGGGGCAAGACATTTAATGACAAATTAATAAATATAATCTTGTATAATGAAAATATTATTAAAATTATGGTATTTGAATATTTAATGTATATATTAACTTTAATTTTTCCAAACAGTTAAAACAAATTTTATACACAATATATGCACAAAATCACTTTTTAAATTAATTTTATTCATCTCTTACCCTTGAATTATAAATATTTATTATATTTAAAAATGATATTTAAAAATGCTTTTTAAAGTTTTATGTAAAAATATTTGTAAATTATACAATTACCCATACATTTTAAAAAATAATGATAGAAATAAAATAGTTATTCAATATTGTAAAATAAATATAAAATTTTAAAGAAAAGTTTCTTGATCTATTATAAAAAATATAAAACATGACATTGCAAACAATCTAAATTTAATAGTAATGCAATATTTAAATTATGGGATGATTACGGTATATAATCAATTTTTCATTGTTGAAACAAAAACTACTCATTTGGAAAGTTTTTCTATTTATTCAACATATTCTTTCTCATTCTATTCATTTATTAGTATCTGATATTACAGAACTTTAGCACTTATGTCCTGATTAGGAAGGTTCAAATGAATAAATATCCTACATATATATATTTTTCCCATGATTAACCATTTTGCTTATTTTGTACTGTTTATTTTTTTTTAGAATGTCTTACTTAAAAATATATTTTTTATACATACCATTTATAATAAAATTATTAAATACATTTTCCTCTGTATACATAACCATTTATTTAAAATAATGAATACAATAATATGTCTATGATGATGATATAAACATCAATAAATATATGAAAATTATAATAAATAAAATAACTAAACACTAGATTCTACTGTTGCTTCAAGAGGGGGAACAGATTCTTTTTCAGATTCATTTAATTCTTCTGTTTTAGATTTCTTCTCTGGAATATTTTCTGTATCATCTTTCTCTTTCTCATCTTCACTTGACTTTCTTTTCTGTCCATGATTTAATTCTGCAAATAAAAATAATTTTTGATGAAAGAGAGATTTTTTAAAAATTTGTTTGAATAAATTGTTAAAATTATAAAAAAAATTAAATGAAAACAAATATTAAGCTTTTAATGTAATTATATTTTAATCTTTAGAAAATTATTTATAATTTGCTTTTTACATTTGATTAATGAAAACAAAAATTCTTGCAAATTTAAGTATATGTACAGTTTTATATCAACAGAAATGTAGTTGTTCTCTAGTATAGTTAGGTAATAAATATTTAAATTTTAGTTATAATTTTTGTAATTTCTTTTAGATGGAAATTTATAACTAGGCTATTGATGCTTCTTTATAAGTCAAAACAATGAAAAATTNAATATTTTCTATGCTTTTTTTTTCTTTCTTTGTTTTTACTTACTGTTTTAGTGGAAAAACAAATTGGAATACTTATTCCTTTTATATTCATATTTAAATAAGCTGATTTTCCAATTGGGTTTTTGGGATGCAATTTTAAAAAATTGTAGACATATAAATTCCCACTGTCATCAGTTTTTGTCTTTCCTTAATCTCAAATGGAGCTAGATAGATGAAATTCGAGACCAGATATGGAAATCTTAGGGGCAGGAGGCTCTGTTCAACTATATATGAACTTCCGATGCAAACTCGAAGTCATGTTATTTTAATTCAAAACTTTTCCCCTGAAATCAGTTAATAATGAGTATGATGAGGGCAAGACACTACAGTACTAATTTGAGGTGGAGAGCATATATTTTAAATGAAATAAATTAAAAATATGATTAAAAAATTGTGGCCTGGCATTGTGACAATTTCACAATAAATAATTGCTCATAGAACTATAAATTTCCACTGTCGTCTGTGTTGTCTGTCCTTCCTTAATCTTGAGAACAGAGTTAGATAAATGAAAGCTGAGATGAGATATGGAAAGTTTAGGGGCAGAAGATCCCAATTAACTGTATATGAACTTTGGATGCTAACTGGAAGTCATATTATTTCAATTCAAAATTTTTTTTTTCAAAGGTGTTAGCAATACAGATCTTTCTAACAGGAAAAGTATGATGAACAGGGGCAAGACATTTAATGACAAATTAATAAATATAATCTTGTATAATGAAAATATTATTAAAATTATGGTATTTGAATATTTAATGTATATATTAACTTTAATTTTTCCAAACAGTTAAAACAAATTTTATACACAATATATGCACAAAATCACTTTTTAAATTAATTTTATTCATCTCTTACCCTTGAATTATAAATATTTATTATATTTAAAAATGATATTTAAAAATGCTTTTTAAAGTTTTATGTAAAAATATTTGTAAATTATACAATTACCCATACATTTTAAAAAATAATGATAGAAATAAAATAGTTATTCAATATTGTAAAATAAATATAAAATTTTAAAGAAAAGTTTCTTGATCTATTATAAAAAATATAAAACATGACATTGCAAACAATCTAAATTTAATAGTAATGCAATATTTAAATTATGGGATGATTACGGTATATAATCAATTTTTCATTGTTGAAACAAAAACTACTCATTTGGAAAGTTTTTCTATTTATTCAACATATTCTTTCTCATTCTATTCATTTATTAGTATCTGATATTACAGAACTTTAGCACTTATGTCCTGATTAGGAAGGTTCAAATGAATAAATATCCTACATATATATATTTTTCCCATGATTAACCATTTTGCTTATTTTGTACTGTTTATTTTTTTTTAGAATGTCTTACTTAAAAATATATTTTTTATACATACCATTTATAATAAAATTATTAAATACATTTTCCTCTGTATACATAACCATTTATTTAAAATAATGAATACAATAATATGTCTATGATGATGATATAAACATCAATAAATATATGAAAATTATAATAAATAAAATAATAAAATGTACAGGAATTTATACAAATGTGAATTTAGTAGGAAAAATCGAAATTGACCGAGTTTAGTTAAGTAGGCTGATAGAATTTCTTTGTGATGATAATAGGTCACATGTTATATACACCCTGTCAATTAAAGTTAATGAAAGGATGTACGATTACAGTCTCTTTCCGTGCTAAATTTCTAAGTTATGGAAAGTTATATTGCACTAAATTAATTTNTGTTAAAATTATAAAAAAAAATTAAATGAAAACAAATATTAAGCTTTTAATGTAATTATATTTTAATCTTTAGAAAATTATTTATAATTTGCTTTTTACATTTGATTAATGAAAACAAAAATTCTTGCAAATTTAAGTATATGTACAGTTTTATATCAACAGAAATGTAGTTGTTCTCTAGTATAGTTAGGTAATAAATATTTAAATTTTAGTTATAATTTTTGTAATTTCTTTTAGATGGAAATTTATAACTAGGCTATTGATGCTTCTTTATAAGTCAAAACAATGAAAAATTGCCTGAATTATCATTGATTAGATTTTTAGCATAAAAAATCAATGGAGATTTTTGTGAGGAATATTATTTATGCTTGTTAATGAGTAACTTTTTTCATGCAAATTAACAATTTCTTTGATTTTTATGTAGATTATGATTTCATATAATTTAAAATGTTATGTTACAAATTAATTTCTTTAATTTTTGAAAATTCATTCATGCATGTTTTCATTAAAAAGTTTCAATACAAATTTAGTTTAAAAATTTATTACCAGCAAGTAAATATAATATAAAAAGAATAAAGTAAATTATTATAAGTAAATGAATCTAAATATTTTTGAAGCATATCCTAAAACTAAACTTTTTTGGTATATGTTTCATAATTATGTTGAAATATCTTACTGTTATTATCTGTTATTATTTTCCTACATTATGTATAATTGTAAAATTTAAATATATGAAATTTTCTTGCTTTAATTTTTTTATTCTTAAATTAAAAACCTTTTTTGTTTTTAAAATTTAAATAAAAATAATTTCTGAGATTTTTATTGAACTATACATTAAAAAACTAATGTAAAAAATGCAAAAACTCCGATTTTGAAAATGTTCTCACATACATATATGTAAATATAGGCTATATGTTACATATATACACATCCATAAAATATAAAATAATAAGATAGAATAAAAATATGATTTTATGATAATTCATTTAATAATTTTACTGTATCCCTCTAATTTAAGAATGGATTTAAGAATAAAAAAATGTTTGTATCAGTTATCTGTCTACCTCCATTTTCCTTAGTTTCAGTTTCAGTTTCTTCTTTTTCTTTACTTTCTGTTACTTCAGGTTCTTTTTTCTACAAAAAATACAAGGAAATCTCTTTATTCTTGATAACTAATGTAATAAAAAAAAATTTAAGATTACTAGATATGCCATTAAAGTAAAAATGCTTTTAATGATAGTTTAATGTTCAGTTTTTATACCCTATTTTAACTAGTAAATTTACTAAAATAAGATATTTTAATGTTTTTTGATTGGAAAATTAATCAATAAATACATTAATAATTTTGTATACCAATTAAATTTAAGATATATATTATTTAAAATTTATTTTGATATATTTCTAGTCAGTAATGAAATCGTTATTAGGGAATTTTTACAGGGTTCACGAATTAAATTTGTTTAATTTTTTTTCTATTTTTCATATGAATTATTGATAAATTGAATTATTTATCCAATTAACATTGAGATCTAAATCTAGAAGAAATGATTAAATCTAGAAATCGAGAGGAAGCTCTTAAAACTTTTTTTAAAAATGCGAAATTTTTTACGGAGAACTTTAAAAAAAATTATAGGGGGAAAAAAATACTTACCGCTGGAGATAAGTCTTGTTCGTCTAATCCTTCTTCTTTTTTCAGCCTTTTATTTATTAATTCGGTATGTTCGGAACTGAAAATGTTTACATTTTTCCATTTATTTACTTTAAAATCCGCAGGGGAAAAAAATCCAGTTTTTACCCGTAAGACGAAAGACTTACCTAATTCTTGATCTTGTGGCTGGCATTTTATTTTACAGAAATTGCACACAGACAAACGATTTACTGCGATTGAAGACGAATAATTTATATAGTAACAAATCACGTGCTATTCTCTCAACCAATTGGTGAGAGATAAATTCATTTTAGACATATTCTACATAAAGTTCACCGACTTCTCTACCTTTACATCGGTGCGAATCATTTCTCTTTCACAACATATTTATTATACATAGATAGAAATATTTTATAAATCATAAACTCTTAATAAAATAATTGTTTTTAAATAGTATCGTTAGAAAAATATTTTTTCAAAATGTTTCATTTATTTACTTAAATTTTAATAAACGTGGATTAAATTTCCGAATATTCAAAACACGGTTTTTTGTAACAGTCTTTTATCTTTTGAATAAATAAACATATTAAAGGTGTTCATTTACTTATTAAAACCTTGTATTTAATATTACAGACGAGTGCCGAACTTTGAAAAATGATTTATGTAGAGCTAAATATATAAATTATAAATCGAAAATATAAGAAAAGTCTTTCGCTTAAGAGAGATTTTATAAAAAGGTGAATGACCAACCTTTTACATATTCGCTTTCGCTTAAAAATAGAACCAAGTCCATCAACCTGGCTATGTAGGTACGGTACTTCTGCATCAAGTAGATGTCAATTTATTTTTTTATTTTTGGTTACTTTTTTGTTTCGTTAATTAAATTCGAAGTGTTATTTATAAAGCGCATTTGTCAGTACGGCATGTTTTTATATTTAGAAACCAAAATGGTAGACAAAAACTCTCCGTGTTTAGTCTTTGTAAGGGTAACAAGTCTGTGTTTTTGTTTTAGAATTTATGTATTCGATTATTTAAACGGGTGTTTTTTATTACAATTTATAAAATGTTCATCGATCTTAACTTTTCAGCGAAATAAAGTGTTGGAGAATTAAAGTGCTAATCGTTCAAACTAAAATATAGAAAAATAGATTATACTGTATAAAATATTTCAAGTAATAATTTATGTATAAAAATGTACAGGAATTTATACAAACGTGAATTTAGTAGGAAAAATCGAAATTGACCGAGTTTAGTTAAGTAGGCTGATAGAATTTCTTTGTGATGATAATAGGTCACATGTTATATACACCCTGTCAATTAAAGTTAATGAAAGGATGTACGATTACAGTCTCTTTCCGTGCTAAATTTCTAAGTTATGGAAAGTTATATTGCACTAAATTAATTTTTATATAATAATATGGTTTAATAAGTATAAAATCTATAAATATTGATACTTTTATATTATATTTGATCTATGTAAAAAGATCTTCCAAATTGCAACCGATCTTTACATACAATTTTCAACACTTGTATGAGACAAAATCCGTATTAACTTCATATCGACCGAAAATCAGAATGCAGAATTTATTTAGTATAAGTTTGCTTATAATGGAATATATTGAAAAAAAAATTAAGCACAAAATTTTAAATTATGATATTCAGTTTAAATTTTGAAAATTCCTAGAGGCAATCAAGTGATATAAGTGCAGGAAGTCATGCTTCCCTGCACAACTACTTTTTTTTTAATGATGAGCTGATAACAATGTCTACTAGATTGTAAAATTAAAATTTGATAATGTTAGTTTTTGTTTATTTCTGACATTTTAAGTATTAAATCTTTGTCAAAAATAATTTTTTAAATATAAGAGTGGGAAAAGTATTTAAAATATTGATAACTCGCGATTATAGTGTTCCAAAATTTGCAAATTTTAAATGAAAATTACGATTAAATAATTTTGTCGAACTCAAAACTCATAATATCAAGCGAAATTTTCGAATTTACGATAAACTTAACACATCTAAGATTTGTTCTTCCGGTTTCTTTACGATTTTAGTTAATGGTGCCACTGTAGTATTACGTGCATTCTAAAATGACATATGTTAACAAACTATTTAGTTACGGCATAAGATATTTCTAATTATATATTTTTTTTTTTTATATAAATTACAACTTTCAATTGGGACAGATTCCAAGTCTGAATAAATGTGCTTATCTTTACTACTGCCAAATTTTTATTCCTTTACTCAATCTCTATCTTTGTAAAATCTACAAATAAAACGCAATATACATCTCGATTTGTTGGCCATTACGTGCTTTGTAACAACAATACAAATCAGGCCATCGACACGTTCGTGATCTTGTGTGATGTTTTCTTTTAATTGGACTGCAATTTGAAAAAATTGTAGACCTATAAATTCCCACTGTCGTCCGTCCGTCCGTCCGTCTTTCCTTAATCTCGAGAACTGAGTAGATAAATGAAAGTCGAGATCAGATATGGAAACATTAGGGGTAGGAGCCCCGATTAACTATATACGAAATACCGGTTTGCACCAGAAATTACATTATTTCAATTCAAAAATTTTCTCTTAAAGGTATTAGATGACCGGCACGACTTTATTGTTAAAAGAAAAGTATGATGTACAGAGGCAAGCCACTATTAATATGAGATGGAGAACATATATTAAATAAATTAAAAATAAGATTAAAAATTGTATCCTGGCATCGTGACGATGTCACAATAGACAATCGTTCGTTTCGTATTTAGAAAATTATTGTTGGTTCATGTAAATTTCAAAGAATACGTTTTGAGATGGTCGCTAGTGATTTTATATATATATCTGATATTTTTAACTCTTTCCGCCCTGTGAGCACTAAAGGGCTTCTTTTAGCAAGCCTATTATGGGTTCGGCCAGGCCCACAGTTGGGCGGCCTGCCGCTCTGGGGGACCCGGGTTAGAATCCGGACGGGTCGGATTATATCCCCAGAAATTTTTCGGGGTGGTCCGTCCGGATATGTCGGGCCCAGTCTCTCACCACCCGGCGGCCCCATTGTGGGTCTGGCCGGACCCATAATGGGCTTGCTAAAAAGGCTCTCTTAATGCCCTCAGGGCGAAAAGAGTTTTAAAAAGTCTTTCAGTAAAGTAAAGTGTTTTTGTATGATTTAGAAATTTGTAGAGTCGATTTTTACCGATATTAGACAAGACATGAGTAAGAATGAAATGTTCTTTTTACAGAAAGTTTTGTTAGCGACTTTCAAACTCAATAGGCTTTGAAAGTCGCTAACAAAACAAGCTTATTGGCCTTTCTTGTTTCGGATATTTGTCATAAAAGGAAATGCACACTAAGTGTGAACGGTACAGTACAAATTGTTCTGCTATATAGGTCTCATCGTAATGTTATCATTAACACCAATGCAACAGTATTATACAACGAGCGATTGCTGTTTACACCAGCTGTATGCGATCAGGAACTGACAGACACCAATTATTGGTGATGATTTGTGTGAATATATTCATTAAAAACTCGTAATACAATGTTTCGTTGGTCATTTTCTGGAGAATTTCCATTAATCGGAAGGAAATTCCTTTGGTGTTTTTCGATTCAACATTGATTCTAAGAAATTCATAATATACAAATAAGCCACTCAGTTGTCAAATCGATTAATTCCACCAAAAAATAGTGGAGAAATTGATAAAATAATATTCTTTTTTAAAATTGTAAACTGTATTATTACAGGCATAGCTTTTATCTAACGACATTTTTTTTCTTTTTTTTTTTTTTACTCTTTCCGCCCTGTGGGTACACTAAAAGGACCTCTTATAGCAGGCCCATTATGGGTTCGGCCAGGCCCACAATGGGGCGACCGGATGGTGAGGACGGGGCTCGACTATCTAACGACATATAAAATAGTATATCCTTAAAATAATGTTTTTATTTTTACATTGTTCGCATGACTAAGGAACTCTTCTAATATATAACATTTGGTTTAAAGATTGGTCATTTTAGTAAATAGGATATCTGAATTTACTAGCCACAATTTCACGTTTTATACATGTTAAATTTCGTATTAAAAATTAAATTACGGAATAAAATTATGTATGTATGTGCTGATTAAATGTTTCTATGAAAATGTAAATAAGCATCTATTTATTCAATTTGATATTTTTTCCAAAAATAAAAATAAATATAATGAAAAAATTAAATATCTTTTCAAATGAAATTCGAAATGTTTCAGATTCGTTGTTTCTGGTTTTGTTGACGTAATAAAATATTATTGTTATTCCACACTATTGTTAATCTAACAAAATTACTTTTTGCAAACGTACGCTTAATAATACCAACTTCCAAAATGCCTTTGTATGAGTCTGATTTCGGTGAGAACCAAAACAAATTAATTGTGGAACACTTAGAAGATGACAATTCAATAGTAAGATTGTCTCCTACAAAAATGCAGACACTCGGCATTTCCCAATACGTACGTTTAAAAGGTAGGAATGGCAGAAAAACGGTTTGCATAGCCTTGGCAGATTCAACCTGTTCAATGGATAACATCAGAATGAATGAACACGTAAGAATAAATTTGCGAGTCAAAGAGGGAGATATCGTCCGAATTTATAGCATAAATAATATTGAGTATGGAAAAAGAATTCATGTTTTACCGATCGAAGATACAATCCCGTTAGTGAATTGTCACCTTTTCGACGATTATCTCAAACCATATTTTCACGGGGCATATAGACCAGTATATAAAGGAGATTTATTTCTTATTAAAGGCCCTCAAGGTAATGTCAAATTTAAAACAATTGCGGTCGATCCCGATCCCCTTTGTATCGTATCGCCAGAAACCATCGTATATTATGAAGGAAATGCAATATTGAGAGAAGATATAGAAAAAGAAATGAATGCTATTGGTTACGATGATATCGGTGGCTATAATTCTCAACTATTACAAATTAGAGAAGTAGTTGAATTATCTCTAAAATATCCAAGTATATTTAACAACATGGGAATTAAACCACCGCGAGGTGTTTTGATGTACGGACCACCTGGAACTGGAAAAACTTTGATGGCCAAAGCAATAGCTAATGAATCGGGAGCCCAGTTTTTGTTAATAAATGGTGCTGAAATCACAAGCAAATTTTATGGCGAATCGGAGAAAAATCTTCGATTGATATTTGCTTATGCCAAAAAGCATGATCCGGCAATAATATTCATTGATGAGATAGATGCCATTGCACCAAACAGAAACAAAGTCGAGGGACAAATGGAAAAACGAATCGTGTCCCAATTTCTCACATTATTGGATGGTGTGATGGAAATGAACGGAGTGGCTGTAATTGCTGCCACAAATTGCCCCAATAATATCGATCCTGCTCTACGTCGAAGCGGGAGATTCGATCGTGAAATATACTTTGGAATTCCAAAAGTAAATGAACGATTAGAAATTCTTCATATTGCAACAAGAAGAATGAAGTTGGCCGAAGATATTAACATAAAAGAGCTTGCGAGAGAAACGCATGGATTCGTTGGTGCCGATATCCACTCTCTCTGCAGAGAAGCCGTATTCCATCAAATAAGAGAAAAGATATGTCTCGATGACGTTGAGGATGGACTAACAGATGAGATTATAAATTCTCTGGCCGTGACAATGAGTGACTTTAGATCTGTTTTAAAAACTATTTGTCCAAATGTTTTGCGAGGATGCCTAGTTGAAAATCCTAACGTATCTTGGGAAGATATTGGAGGTTTAGATGATGTTAAGAAAGAATTACAAGAATTAATCGAATATCCGGTAAAATTCGCCGATAAATTTTTAAGATATGGATTGTCACCTGCTCGAGGATTTCTCCTATTTGGACCTCCGGGATGCGGAAAGACCCTTTTGGCCAAAGCAATGGTTTCCAGTTGTGGAGCCAATTTCATTTGCATTAATGGCCCTGAGCTTTTGACCAAATGGTTCGGAGAAACAGAAGCCAACGTAAGAGAGGTCTTCGACAAAGCTAGAAGAGCTGAACCCTGCGTGCTCTTTTTCGATGAAATCGATTCCATAGCTAGAAAACGCATTAATTATGGCGGAGACAACGCAACGTCCGATCGTATTCTCACACAAGTATTGACAGAAATGGACGGAATAAATGTGAACAAGAACATATTTTTCATGGGCGCCACTAATCGACCGGATGTCATCGATTCTGCCATTCTAAGACCTGGACGTTTAGATGAAGTAATTTATGTTCCATTACCCGATCGATCAGCCAGGAAGAGCATTTTGACGGCTGCTCTGAGACGATGTCCATTAGCAAGCGATGTCGATTTGGACTCCATTGCTAGAAACACTGATGGATTAAGTGGTGCAGATTTAAGTCAAGTTTGCAAAAACGCTTGTAAATTAGCTATAAAGGAGAATATTGAAAATTCAGAAACAGACAAAGATTCCATGACCGAGATTCAAATGCGTCACTTACGAGAAGCAATGAAAAAAACACGACCTTCCGTCAATAGTGAAGATCTTCACAGATTTGAAGAATTTCTCTACAGATTTCGAAATCAAAAAGATTATTACGTTTAGATTTAATAGAATGATATTCATTATGGATAAAACTTTGAGTGATTAAAAATCTTTATTCCAATTTCATTTTTTGATTTATTTACATTTTATTTGATTATCTGAAATAAAATAGAAAGTTGAATGAAAACGACTTTTTTCTAAAGGGCAAGTCGTTTCCTGCCTGAACTTGTTGGCTGGGGATCCGGGTTCGAGTTCAAATCAGAATCCATATCCCAGAAAGCTTTTCGGGATATTTAATTAATCAAGATATATCAGGTTCTGTCGACAATTCGTATGGTTTAACCGTACTTCTTTCCGCTTTGTACGAAGTACACTACTGTACATCTTCATTCTCAATGGTGAAAGAAGATGCACTTACTTCAAAGCGGAAAGAGTTAAAAAGAAAAATAAAAGACAACCTTTCTTACGGTTGTCTTTTATTTTTCTTTTTAAACCTTCACCTAAGTTCTTCATAAAAACTTTATGAAGAACTTAGGTGAAGGTTTGTTATTTTTGAAAAGATCTTATAATAATTTTATTCTTATAAATTTATTAATAATTTCTTTTACAAAATTTTATTGAAGTCAAAATAAAACTGATAGAGAAGTTCTTGAAAGATCTTAAATTCATTTTTTTTTCTGAATTACGCGATGAATTAATATGAACCATTAAAAAAGAATGATTTTAATAATTATTAAAGAAAAATGAATACAATATTTAGAAAAGAGAAAGAGGGATGATTTTTTAATTTCCGTAGGATAACTCCTACGGAAATTAAAAAAATAACGAAATCAACCCTAAGATTACATTTTAACAACTAAAATATTATGTGATATCTTACGTAAATATACTGTACTTGAACATTAAAATATTCTATTAATGTACTAACCTAATTTTAATTTATTTATCAACAAATAAATTAAACTTAAAATTGCAATGCAAAATAGAGTTCTTACGAGTCTCGTTAGTAGCTGACATCTTATTTGCTGGCGTATCGAACATCGAAAAAGACACTTGCACTTTGCTGGTAACAAGCTCGAAGCAACCAGAAGTTGCCTGAGATTTTGACAGAGGTGCTGGCAGCGTGCTGAGATTTTGAATACGCCCAAAGGTAACAATGTGGCGTGATTTCAAAGTCCTTTCATTGGTCCTTATTAAAAAAATTGCATATTGGTCAATATTATGTTCTATTAGTGTTTCTAGATACTGAGATATGCTCCAAAACTTCGTCATTTCAGCACTGCAATAGAGAAATTGTCTAAAACACTGCCATCTTTATGTAAGATGGAGAACTCTCACATATAAGCTTAAATGTCTTAAAAGCCTTATTGCCATATTTTTCGCACAATAAACTGATTAGCTGATTACTTCCAGAATCATGGCCCCTAAGATTAATAGTACTGAACTAATGTTGACATATTTCAGAGTAATAAATTCCGAACATTGTGTGAAAAAACATCAACTTGAAAAAAGCGATGAGCAAAGGAAAAACTACAAACCTGGAAACAGTTTTTCATTCTTTTGATGATTATAATGATAACGAGACAGACGGATGGCTGAGCCAGTTAAAGTCTCAGTCTACCTCTCTGGAGTTCCAGGATCGAATTCGGGAAAGCAAATACAAGGTGTTTCAGGAGTGGTGCATTCCGGATATGTCGGCCACCGTACCTCACCACTTTGATGCCCCATTTTGGGCCAAGTCGAATCCACGATAGGTATGGTTAAAATGTTACTGCCCACAACAAACAAAAACAGAAAAAAAAAGAAAAATGGACGGAAACAAAACTGACGGAAACGAAAAAATTCGGATTACAATTAACAAATTCTTTCGAGGAAAAAGGAACATGCTAAAAAACACATAACTGATCATTTTTCAAAACGTTCCCAAACAGTTTTTGTTTTACAAACAATTTTTTAAAAAAGTAACTAAAACTGCGAACAGTTGGCATTCCTATACTGAATCCATGAGCTTATTTATCATTTTCTGTCATATTCTTTAAATAAAACTTGCATTTTGGTTTTTATAAAGTTACAATAACAATAAGATGACCAACTTTTTTACAATGAAAAGGAGGATACAAATAAATTGAAGGAAAAATATCGTAAATAAAAGAAACATTTTATTCATTGCAACATTAATACACTATAGCGAGGTTGCAGCCGAAGTTTTCAACGCGAAAACGTGTACGTCGGACCGCCTTCCTGTAAGCCTCGAAGTTTGACAATGGCGTTTGGAACATCAAGCATGATTCCACTGACGTTCCAAATGCTATTGTCAAACTTCTATGCTTACAGGAAGGCGGTGCTGAACGTCCGACGTACACGTTTTCACGTTGAAAACTTCGGCTGCAATCTCTCTTATAATAATCTTTATTGCATGTGTATGTGCTGTGTCGTGTTTCGGTAAGAAGTAAACAAAGCCACTTGCGCGCGACGCGCTCTTTCAAAGTCTCCCGTGCGGAGTGCAAAGGTCTCATAATCGCGTCTCACCGCACTGTACAGTACCAAGCCTTGATTAGTTGTCATGTCAAATACAAACACGTCACATCTCATCACATGCAACGGATCGGATCGATCGAATACGGAGATTTACAGATGTCTTCAAATATCGAAAAGTAGCACATGTAGGAGGACACTTTTCGAGAGAGGGCAGAACTTACGAAAGGAAGATGATTGGTCACCTTAATTAACAAGCAATCTCGTTGAAATATATCTGATGGGAATAACTCATTTATAAAACAATAATTTTACTTTTCAAATTTATTTAATAAATAGAATACAATATATGACAATTTTAGACTGCCGGATGGCAGAGCGTTTAAGATGGCAACCTACTGCTCTGAGGGATCCGAAATCGAATCCGGACGAGTCGAAAATTCCCAGGAATTTTCCGGGGGTGGTCCGTCCGGATATGTCAGGCTCCATCCCTCAACACCCGTCCGCCTCATTGTGGGCCTGGCCGAACCCATAATGGGCTTGCTAAAAGAGGCCCTCTTAGTTCCCACAGAGCAGAAAGAGTTAAAAAAAAAGTATATGACAATTTTTTAAAAAAGTCTTTACTAAAAAGTATCGATGTAAAATATCATTATGTAGAAAATAATTCAATTTCAAATTATAATAATTAATATTATTAAAATTTCATTAAAACATTTACGAAATAATTATAATTTAGAAAAATATACACTACATATATAATTTTCTTAATCATATTTCTCCACTAGGTGAAATACGATCGACCAATGAAGACCGTTGGTGCGATATTTGAAAAATATTCAGGTATTTCTATTGTGTAAAACGTTCTTGATCTGTTGCTAACGAAATTAATATTTCTTTTAGTTCAGATTATTATTAAAATATATTTTTTCGAAGAGCGTTTTTAATAAATAGTTGTTTTATTAGAGAAGAATCGATCAAAATGCCGTTAAATTGTGATCGACTCCTCATAAATGGAGTTTTAAATGGACATAGGCACGATGACAAACGAAAATTTTAATTTTTGATTTGGTATTCGATATTAAATCTTTTAAAAATAAAACATAATTTATCAGAAAATCATGTCTCATGCACAGGACAATGTTCGTTAATGAACAAATTTTAATTAAACTACTAACTAAAAAGCGTAGTCAATTTTATTGTTTGGTCAGTACGAGTTCAAAAGAAACTGTCTTGTATTTGGCTATTTTCATTTAGCTGATTAATACTGTTTGTTACTGACTTGTTTTACAAAATAGCAACGAATTGAACCTTAAAAAATTTCAGGATAATTAATTGCAACCTCTAACGTTTTCGATCTACTTAGATCTTCCTCAGGATTCTTTAAATAGGAATGCTGAAATTGGAACGTTTTATAATATTTAATAAATTTTTAAAAACGTTCCAATTTCCTCATTCCTATTTAAAGAATCCTGAGGAAGATCTCCTATGTAGATCAAAAACGTTAGAGGTTGCAATTGATTAATGAATTTTCAATTAATTATCCTGGAATTTTTTAAGGTTCAATTCGTTGCTGTTTTGTATAATATATTCCAGGCTTGCAGAGTTTGAGCTAATTAAGCTATGCTGACTTGTTTTACTACTACATGGTTTACATCCACATTTGTCAACTGGTGGTCCACAGATCCTAGGGATCCATGAAACGATGCGAAGGTCCACAGGCTTTCATGGTGTGAGGATTTTAAAGGTCTGTGGAATTCTGTGAGGGTCTATGGTCTTTCATGTTGTAGGGATTTTGAGGGTCTACAACACCAGAAATGTCACGAACCATGGTCTACAGCTCTGATCAGGTCCCAACCTCCTTATTCAGAACTACAATTTTATCTGATTGCAGCCGTTTGCATTAATCTATATTTTGGAAATATTAAAGTATCAGTTATTATCAGACATTATTACTGGTATGGTTTTACATTATCCTTTCACTGGTTTTTATTGATACTGGCCTATAGATTATTTTACTAAAGTTTTATCTCAACACAACCAAAATTGTGTTGAGATAAAACTCTAACTACAAATCGTTGGCTCACTGTGTTGCAATTAATGCATTTGTATTCTGTATTGGAATCCAATAAAAACTCAAGATTTTTTTATTTAATAAAGAGAGATAAATTTCTAGCAATTAGGATCAATAGATACATTTAATGAGAAATATAAAAATATTTTTATAATAAATCAGAATTGATGAATTTTTAATGGAATGCACACACAATTTTATGTATTATTATTTTGTTCTATTTGGTTTGCTTTTTTTATACTTGTTACGATAACTTCCTAATCAAATTCAGTAAATTGTAACTAAGCTTATTATATATTTAGTAAAACTGAAATATTTTATTATTAGTATATATATATATATGTTAATGATATACATTGGTTAAAACATTTGAAGTAATGCATATCATTAATTTGAACAAATGTATAGCAATTTTTAAATTTATGAAGTCTATGAGAGCAGAAATGAATGAAAAATTGAATGACACTAGAAATTTTTTCAACACATTAATTACAGATTAAACTTCAAGCTTTATAAAATTCATATGTTCTTAATGTAAAACAGTCTTGTAAAATAGAATAAAATAGCAATTTATAAGGGTACTTTCCAAGACCAATTCACTATTACTTTATATTTTTTTTATACTATTCATAACAATTATTGACTAAAGAATGATAAAGGGTATACTGATAATACTTTAGATACAACAGAAATATGAATTTTTTTTTTTTTAAATTATTTGTGCACATCATTTTATCATTTAATCACAATTAAATGATAAAAATATTTATATTCTTCAAAAAATTATATACTTTTCTATTGGAAAATTTTTGTATTAATAATAATAATAATTTTTAAATTATGTTAATTTATTTCCATAGTTACTATGATATGCTTTTTGTCTAGTCTTCTGAAGGGCTTGTGAGCACTACGATTGGCTTTACTTTACCGCTAGACTTATTACACCACTACAGGACATCAAATTAGATTTAGAAAAACACTATTTTATTTTCAGAATGCATTTTGGACATGGAGTCCCTCATCAGTTTTTCTAAATCTAATTTGATGTCCTGTGGTGGTGTAATTAGTCTAGCGGTAAAGTAAAGCCAATCTTAGTGCTTACAAGCCATTATTTCCATGGTTTTAAAAAATTTTACGTTACATTAAGTTATAATACATCTGAATATAATACTTTTCCTCAAATTTTAGAAAATTAAGCATAGTTCATTTTGCAAAATTAAACTGAAAATGATGAGTCATTCCATTGTTTTATTTTAGCACAGTAATAAAAGGTTGCTGGATTTTATACTAACAAATAAATTTAAAAAATAAACTATAATTTTTAATGTTGAAAGTTTTATAATTACCATAGTAGAATTGTTTGGTGTTTAGTTAATACTTGCAACATATATATGAGTACAGATTAACAAAATAAACTTTTTTGTTGTGTTATGAAATATTAAAATGTACAAGTTTCATGTTCAAAATTTGAATGTTTTTAACTTTGAGATATCTTGTAATTAGATTAACATAAATGTTAAGATATACAGCACTGGCTATGAATATTAGTCTATACTTATATTATAGTAGCATGAAAGATCTCATTTGTAGTATGATAATTGATAAATGCTAAATTGATATGAGTATATGGAAAAATTAAACCATGTTTATGTCTAGGCACATTATATACTTGTTTCATAAAAAAGCAAGCTTATTTTCTTCTTTTCCGTGCATTTTATGGTAGCTTAATTCAAGGCATAATATTTTCTAATAAAACAAAACCATTTACACTGATGTTACTGGAATAAAGATGTTAAAGAAAAAACATTTACAAAATTTATAATTATTTCTTTCCCTACTCTCTACTCTATTCAACTTCTTCAGATAATAAATTTTCGTAAATATATATAAAAAAGTTGTTTAAGAAAAATATACTTAGAAGTGTATATACTAATATATTTTGTTTTCATGTTTTTATTTAGATCAAAGCAATGGATAGTGCAAGTCGAATACCTAGTAAATTAAGACCCCCTCAGTCTGTAGCTTTGAAACGTCATGTTCAGAAAGAAAATGTAAGTACATTTCTTCTTCGTAGAATCTTAATCTTTTATATTCTTTATATTATGTAAAAAAAAATATAACATTTTAAATGTAAATACAGTATGCCGACTTAAGGGGGAAATTGTTCAAAAAGAATAAGTACGAGTGTTTCCTCAGAAAATACTATACTGTACTTGTATGTATTGTTTGCTTGAGAATACAACAGAGAATAAACTGTCCAAATATCCTTAAACAAAAGAAAAGTACATACTTTATGAAGGCATAGAGCCTTTACTACATGAAAATGAAAATTAATGAATAGACAGTGTACAGTAATTTACCTGATAAGACAGATCTCAGAAAAATACTTTATGAGGCATAAAGCTGTCTATAATGAAAATTAACTAGGGGTTTTTTCGCCCTGCCAGAGTGTGGCTGAGTTATCCGGACTGCCGGGTTATCGAGTGCCAAGTTTTTGGGACTCTACTGTACAATGAATCCAAGAGGTTAGTTTGTAATGGTGATAGTCCATAGGATCATTGATTCAGGTTCCTGATGATGGAGAAATAGCAGAACCACAGCATTGGGGGTAGGTGCTTGGACAGACTAAGGTGAGCAGGCATCAGATGGCACTTAGGCTTCACACAGAGTTAGAGTGAAACGGGGATGGTCCTTGGCTCCAAGAGTACAACATCAGTGATGATTTCTCAGTTGAGGAGACTGCTTCTCCTAATGTATCTATACCAGAGTATTCTCTCATTCGAAATCTTAACTCACCGAGTGTGATGACTGACTGAGTGCATTGTCCTTGATTATCAGGGATTATATCAATCTCCATTTTTTTATCAGCCTTTCTGATTGGTTGATCTCCCTCATCCATGCTTTTCAAGTGGCTGGTCTGGTCCCTCATTACTAAGCATAATGCAAAATGAGATTCTGACTCAGATCGCAGAAGAGGTCAAATTTGATCTCCAACCGGAAATGGTCAATCATAGGATGACATTCCTTCTAAAATTACGACATTGGTGTCTCATCTGAACATAAACAAAGTTGTGTCTAACTGCAAACCTTTTTTTCTTGACATTTAAAGCAAATAGTTTTTATTTTCTAAATCTACTAGTTTTTGTGAATTTTGTGACAGTTTGGACTTGTCTGGGGCCTCAATACACTTTAAATAATTCTGAGATATGATACAGTTTGAAATGTTTTAAAATATGATTGACTATTATTATTATTTCAAACTGTTAAATAATAATTTTTATAATAATGTTTAATGAGGACTTTTTACTAATTTCATTTAATTGTAATTAGTAAAGACCAGATTTGTATGCATATGCATGTTTTTCTCTTTGCATGCCATGACATTAAAACCTTAATAAAAATATGATTTTGGTCCAAATAGATAATATTATTGGAATGTGGCTATCACATGATTAAGTATTTGTACATGTGTTCCCTGGATATTATTTCTAAATAGTTGTAACTGGACAGGGCTCCTTGTCTTGTTGCTTCTATGTAGAGAGGAAGTGTCTACACTATTGTAATATTTTTCTTTGTCTTGTTCATATTAAAAATTTTGCTGGTGAAATTTTAGACTTATCACAATAATTTATAGCAACAAAAATTAAGGTTGTCTAATAAGTCATATTTATATGCATTTTTAAAAACATGTGTAAAATATGCATTTATGATTTACTCCATATTTTGCAGATTTGACTATTTTTAGGACTAAATAAACTTTATAGCTTGTATGCATGATTTCAAGTGGTGCTGTTTTTTTTCAAATGATCTATAGTCTGTGTTTTGCTATCTATGCAAGGAATCTTATGCATGTACAGTTCATGTGAGAAATATCACTCTGTTTTCAATTTTTAATGTTGAAAGTTTTATAATTACCATAGTAGAATTGTTTGGTGTTTAGTTAATACTTGCAACATATATATGAGTACAGATTAACAAAATAAACTTTTTTGTTGTGTTATGAAATATTAAAATGTACAAGTTTCATGTTCAAAATTTGAATGTTTTTAACTTTGAGATATCTTGTAATTAGATTAACATAAATGTTAAGATATACAGCACTGGCTATGAATATTAGTCTATACTTATATTATAGTAGCATGAAAGATCTCATTTGTAGTATGATAATTGATAAATGCTAAATTGATATGAGTATATGGAAAAATTAAACCATGTTTATGTCTAGGCACATTATATACTTGTTTCATAAAAAAGCAAGCTTATTTTCTTCTTTTCCGTGCATTTTATGGTAGCTTAATTCAAGGCATAATATTTTCTAATAAAACAAAACCATTTACACTGATGTTACTGGAATAAAGATGTTAAAGAAAAAACATTTACAAAATTTATAATTATTTCTTTCCCTACTCTCTACTCTATTCAACTTCTTCAGATAATAAATTTTCGTAAATATATATAAAAAAGTTGTTTAAGAAAAATATACTTAGAAGTGTATATACTAATATATTTTGTTTTCATGTTTTTATTTAGATCAAAGCAATGGATAGTGCAAGTCGAATACCTAGTAAATTAAGACCCCCTCAGTCTGTAGCTTTGAAACGTCATGTTCAGAAAGAANATATCAATCTCCATTTTTTTATCAGCCTTTCTGATTGGTTGATCTCCCTCATCCATGCTTTTCAAGTGGCTGGTCTGGTCCCTCATTACTAAGCATAATGCAAAATGAGATTCTGACTCAGATCGCAGAAGAGGTCAAATTTGATCTCCAACCGGAGATGGTCAATCATAGGATGACATTCCTTCTAAAATTACGACATTGGTGTCTCATCTGAACATAAACAAAGTTGTGTCTAACTGCAAACCTTTTTTTCTTGACATTTAAAGCAAATAGTTTTTATTTTCTAAATCTACTAGTTTTTGTGAATTTTGTGACAGTTTGGACTTGTCTGGGGCCTCAATACACTTTAAATAATTCTGAGATATGATACAGTTTGAAATGTTTTAAAATATGATTGACTATTATTATTATTTCAAACTGTTAAATAATAATTTTTATAATAATGTTTAATGAGGACTTTTTACTAATTTCATTTAATTGTAATTAGTAAAGACCAGATTTGTATGCATATGCATGTTTTTCTCTTTGCATGCCATGACATTAAAACCTTAGTAAAAATATGATTTTGGTCCAAATAGATAATATTATTGGAATGTGGCTATCACATGATTAAGTATTTGTACATGTGTTCCCTGGATATTATTTCTAAATAGTTGTAACTGGACAGGGCTCCTTGTCTTGTTGCTTCTATGTAGAGAGGAAGTGTCTACACTATTGTAATATTTTTCTTTGTCTTGTTCATATTAAAAATTTTGCTGGTGAAATTTTAGACTTATCACAATAATTTATAGCAACAAAAATTAAGGTTGTCTAATAAGTCATATTTATATGCATTTTTAAAAACATGTGTAAAATATGCATTTATGATTTACTCCATATTTTGCAGATTTGACTATTTTTGGGACTAAATAAACTTTATAGCTTGTATGCATGATTTCAAGTGGTGCTGTTTTTTTTCAAATGATCTATAGTCTGTGTTTTGCTATCTATGCAAGGAATCTTATGCATGTACAGTTCATGTGAGAAATATCACTCTGTTGTCCAATTACAGATGAGTGTGCAAAATTCAAATGTTTTAAATTTGAATGGATAACTTGTATTCTTTTAATACATTCATCCTCAAATATCTTCTAAACAATTGTATATATAAAAATAAATTTAATAATGATTGATTAGATAGCATAGAAAGTTATAAAATTTTATTGGACATGTAATTTTACTTGTAATTGACTTCATTCTAATATCCCTTAAATGAAATGTTATTTTAATTCATGTTTTGTGACATCATAATTTTCATACCCCTTGTGTTACCTATTGTCACATGTTTATTCCCTTCCACTTAAAAAGTGTGACATAATAGACATTAGTAAGATTTTCTCACAAACAGAAGTAAAGTATGTATGCATTTCAACCTACAAATTTTATTGTATATTATTGGTATTTTTAACATGGATAATGCATATTTCAGGCATTTTGCACGCTTATAACATATATCTAGCATTTTTATGTGCATATATTGCAATTTTAAACATACACAAAAATAGCCTAATTACCTGTAATTTTATTTGCACTTATTATATTTTTTTATATTTCTGTTACTATGGTAATAATAATATACTATAAGTTATATTAATTTCTCTTATTAATAAGTTTGTATTTATATAGTAGAATGCTAAAGTTTTAAAGTAAAGAAAGTTGTTATTTTATATTTTTTTATATATTCAATCAGTTTAATATATCAGAAATTTTATACATTTCTGCAAACAAAAGACACCTAATTCAGTTTTTACACAATAGATTGGTTCCCAGAAATTTAAAAAAAATCATGTAAAAATGTAAATTATTAGTCTTTTGTAAATTCTTAGTCTTAGTAAATTCTTAATTTTTCATGTATACATGAAAAATTAGAAGACTGGTTATGGACCTAAGAAATCAATGAAAATAATGAAATAAACCATATGAAACATCTTGTTAGAAATTTTTTCTTTTTTTGCATGTTATCAAATTTTATTTCATATACAATTGCACATAAATAAAAATGAATTGTAGGAACAAATTTCATTTGAAAAACAAAAAAAAAAAACAAGAATTAATGAACATAAAATTGTGCAGAATACGTAAAGTGAGTTTACATAAGATTTTATTTGCTGTCACTTTCTGACAATAAACGCATGTAAACACATGAGTTTATTGTGCATGATTGCAGTATCACTACTATCACTAAAAAACGCTTTGATTATTGTGTTATTTGTCACAAGTAAAGTTCTTTTTGTGAACTCCTAAACAACATTAGCAGTAATGTCCTCTGGTGCTGGTGTTACACTGGTTTTATGAATGAATTCAGTTATTCTATACCATATGAATGGCTGGGTTCATATTGTAGCTAGGCTTGAGAAATAAAAAAATTCAATGGATATCATTGTATTGCTTAGTTTGTAAATACTTTTTGGTATTTTATGGTTTTTATTTGATTTATATTATTTTAAAATAAGAAAATAAATTTATAATCTTAATATAAAAGTAATGTGCATTTTAATAAAGTTTGTTGAGAGGTTTTAGTATGATGAATATAATTAGATATCACAATGTAAAGAAGTTCATATGATTTATCAAATTTACAGTATGAGAATCTGTCACAATCTGAAATATCGAATTTTATGAAATATCAATGGGATCTATTCGTTAAGTAACATTCTTAATAATAATCTATTTTAAACCATACAATTTTTTAATTTTTTCCCCTCACTAAATATGCAAATTAAACACCAAAAGAAATGAATAATTATGAACAGAAAACAAAGTTTTTGCTGCAGTGGATAAGTGAGCATTATATATTTTTTATAAAATAGCATATTATTTATTATTTTATTTTTTCATGCAATTTATTTATTGTATAGATTCCATTAGGAAATAAAAAAGGGCGATATGAGTTAACTTCCTCAAATGGATCAAATCTATCTCAAATTTGTCGTTCCAATTCAGTTTTATCTCTTAATAAAGTTGGAAAAAATTCACTTCCTGCAACTACTGGGAAAAACTGTAAGTTTGTTTCTATTTTATTTGCTTATGGAAGTATGCATATTATATGTTTTAATTTTAAGTATAAAATGTATAAAAGAATTCCATAAAGATCCTTGGAGAATCTGCTTATTGTATTCACTTTTAAGCTCGCTTATACTGATGATGACTGATTAATAACATTAAGCAAGGTAAGTAAATAAAACTACAGTTAATGGAGAATCTGATTTTATTGACTAACATTAAAAGGACATGTTAAAACAATTAAAAAATGTACAACTTCAGGATTTATTTATTACAACTATTATTAATTAATAGTAATTCATTTAATAAATAACAAAAAAAAAAACATCACAATCATACAAAGTTGTAACTTGCAAACAAAAACAGTATCCACAAAACAACATTGCTTTGGATCTAATATACATAAAATTCATAGACATCATCAGGTAGTTTTGGGTTAGGAAAGAGCTCCATGAGAGGAACCATAACTGTCTCAGCTAGAATCATGATAGTACTGTGTTAAACTGCTGACTTTTTCATGATGTCTCTTTGGAGAAATTGAAGGGTTTATGATTGCCATACAAGACCAGGTTGTAAATACACTCCTCAAAAATAAAATTGCAACATCATGAAGGAATATGCATACTGCAGGACCTGTAGAGGTAACTNGTCACATTTATTTCTCTTTAATGTTTTCCGTAACTAAAATATCACCGAATGTCATTTGTGCATTAAGCATTTCAAAAAATGTGCATAAAGCGTAACTCAATTATAGCCTATATAAATTGTTACGATATTATTTTTCTACAAATTTTCTAATTTATATACGTATATATTATAATTACAAACTATTATATATTACGAAGAAAAAAAAATAAAACCCGGGTAATAAATAATTTCGTTATCGTTACTCGGAAACATTGATTACAATAAAATTAATTTGATTATAAAGACGGACGAAACCATTACTCAATGATAATTCAATTCACATTTCAGTAGATCAGTTACAGTATGGCGAGTTAATCCTTTATATTTCCACCAAAAAATCGTTATATGCTATCGCTGGCCGATCTAACAAAGTAAAAATCGTTATTAGGTGCAGTTTAGTTTCAATCTGGCTTTCTGGGAAAATCCTCATTTACACTATAATCGATACTAAACAAGACTGCTCTATTAATCAGATAGGAATAAACGCATATTATTTTTCACTCTCATTACTGCGCGTTTAATGATATTAATTAAATGATTATAAAAAGAGCTTAGGGGGGGGAAAAAAAACAGATATGATAACTTAGGAAATTGTTCTTTAACACTAGAACACCTAGACTAAATCTACCCCAACAGTGCCCGCTAATGGTCAAGTGACCCCTCTCATTACTTTCATGTTTTTATCAGAAAATGTTGGCATTCAACTCATTTTAATGCATTGTAATCATATTTTTAAGTTTTTTAAATATGAATACATCCAAACATTAAAAAAAATTTTCAAAATAAATAATTGTTTTTCATATATTCTCAAAGGGAGTATTCTTCTGACATATTTTACTGATCAATTTTGTACTTAGGAATATGCCATGTATGGACTTTTTCATGCAAAGCAAGTTACATTTGTCATATTTTTCTTGCAAAGTCCAATTTTAGAAATGTTTGAGGAGGCAGCTTTGGATGTAGCTGCATCACTACCATCTGTTTGGAATGATGGCATTACTAGATGCTGAAGTCACAAATTCCTGTATGGCACAACTCGCTCTTCAACAGCTTTCATCATGAAAGACTGTCAAGAGATTTTGGATCCAGTTATCAACTTGTACCTTGTATCTGCATTGATCATAGTGAGATCTAGACTGTTATAGAAGACACTGTAGTGTACTGTGAATCATTTGATCTATAACAACTACACTACATTTAGTGTTATTATAGAAGCTGATCATCTCAGTGTTTTCTTCTTTGCTTCCTCATTGATCAAATGTATTCTTTTAAGAATAAGCACATTCTTTTTAGTTTTTCTTACTAAGGGTAATTTCATCCACCTTGTAAATAATGCTGGAATGAAGGAGATCTTGCAGCTTTTTTACAAAGAGTGGGACATCCTTTCAAGCTTTATTCAAAATTCCAACAACTCTTGTATTTCTTTTTTTCAGTTCATTTACCAGTTTGAGTGATATAAAGAAATTATCTTATGTGACATTTTGTCCCTTTTTTAGGAATAGTTCCATGAAACGTAAAGTAAATTACCTAAACTTTTATCTGTAGGTCTCATTTTATCTTTTCACTTTTATTTTCAAGCCTAATTTCATCAGTCTTCAGGCTCAAAACTGCACTCTGGATCCGACAATTCACCTCCAAACTGAGATGGAGCTATATCTTGCACAGCTTTCAGAATTTCACCTGCAATAAGATCATGCTTGAACAAAGGATACATATGCAACTATCTATAAAATAGTGAATGCAATGCAACTCGAACAGATGTGACATAGAAGGGCCAGGAAACTTCTATAAAAACTGCAAGTCTAGATCTGGCAGCTGTGCATCTGAAAACTTTTTTTTTTTTTTTGAAACTTTTTGCCCTGTGGACACTAAGAGGGCTTTTTTTAGCAAGTCCATTATGGGTTCAGCCAGACTTACAATGGGGCGGCTGGGTGGTGAGGGATGGGCCCACATATCTAGACAAACCACTCTCCCAGGAATTTTTCTACTCATTTGGATTTAATCCTGGGTCCCTCAGAGAGGTAGGCTGCTGTCTTAACCACTTGGCCATCCAGCTGTATTCCCAAAACTGGTGCAGCAAATGTCTTTTTTAGTTATCAATAATACATACTATACTCTTTTCAGTTGTAAGTTATAAATTAGTGAATGTTTATCATTAAAAGTACATGAAAACACCTAGTTAAGCAGGGTGATCAATTGACCTCTACTGGGTACCAATGATATATAAGGTTTGCCGACTGTATGCAATTGTCGAGGGGTTGAGATAATCGTGCATGGGCATGATATAGGCTTACCATTCACTTTTTCCCATTTAATAAAATATAAAAAATATTCTTACAAGATTTTCTATATTCTTGTTGTTACTATTTGCCTTTGATATTTCTTTTTAAGAAGAGAGTCCAGTAAAAGTTTGAATGTTACATTGAATGTCTACACTCGGTCCCTTGTTGATGGTCTTCTGCAGTATTGACGGCCTTGGAACTCATTAAGCTCAGATGTAACAAATCTTGGAGAACGAATGGATCTGGGCGACAGAATTATGAATCTTGGAGGAAGAAGAACAAATTTTAGAGGACAATCATCTCTTGGAGAAAAAGAACAAATGTTGGAGCAAAGAATGTCATGTCCTTGAAACACAAGTTTGTAAAGGGTTTCTCTCCTCTATTACATGATCTGATTGGTCTTCTCTCGTCTCCTGATGACAATTCAAAACTTTTTGGGGAAGGAGAGGTCGTTATTGACACTTAACCCAATCCCAATCGGCTAAAATGTCTCCAAACTTTCAAATTCTCCCTTGTAATTCCAGCCTTTTGTTTTCCTTTTTGACAGAAAGAACTTTTATTGTTTTAAGTCTAGCTTTGGATTTTAATTTGAAAGGTGAGAGTTTAACTGTTTTACTGGATATTTGTTGTCATAAACATAAAATTTTGATTTCTGTCTGGGACCTCACAGATAAAACCAGTGTTATCTTAAAAACGTTATCCTGGAAAACAATGATTTATAGTCAAAAATAACTTTAAGTAAAATGATTAGAATTCACAAAATCTCAGAATGATACTACCAAAAACACTTCAAATATGCAAATCTGAAATCAAAAGCAATCAATTGACCCCTGTTAATATACATATACACGTACTTGGTAATCAGATAAAATCGTGAATAATTTATTTATCTGTATTTAGTTGTTTTTATTTAAATGAATTAATATAATTTTTTATTTTTATTTTGTAGCATAAAACTTTCTAATATTTGACAATATTCAAACTTGTTTATAATTCAGAGAACAGTGATTATTGGATTTTCAACTATATATGCATGGCATTAATAGTAATTACACTTCATTATTGTTTTTGTCAGAAAGCATATTATATTTCTGATTTTACATTCATTTGTGATAAGAATTGATATAGTATTTATGAATGAAAAACATAATTTTGTTGGCCCAAAGATATTTAAGTACAGTATATATTGTATTTTTACTATCTGATACATTAATTTTTTTGGTACAAATTCTATTCTACAGAGATTTTAATATAATTGTAATTTTTCTTGTTGGGCTGCAATGTGATAAAATTTATATTTAGAATATATAGTAAAATGTTGATTTGCAATAATTTATGAATTTTATAATTTGTGAAAAGAATGATTTAAAATAAAAATGATCAAATGAATGATATTAGAATGCAAATAACCACAGATTAGTTTAATTACAACTAGCAAATAATAATAATTTTTTTATAAATGTTGGAATATTTGCTATAACAAAATTTATATAAAAGAAAATAATGTTGATATTACAACTGAAGAAATGTAATGCTGAATGGACTACGTGAAAAGGCATAACATTTATAAAGATCTTAATCAGAAAAAAATTGTTATGAAATTAAATATATGAAATGATAAAATAAAGTATAAATGCATAATGACATTCAATTCATGAAGAATTTTTATGATATTTGATATTTACCTACAAATAAAAATGATAATTAAATTTATAGTATTATAATTAATTTTGCTTGTATGTATATTTTAGTTACTGGACGACTTACTAATATTCCATCAGTGAGTAAAGATGAAAAAATTCAGAAAAACAAAGTTACTAAACAGAAAAGGCCAGCTTGGGATCTGAAAGGACGTATTCAAGATATGGAAGAAGAGTTTGTTCGATCAAGAAGATCAAATCAACAGTTACATGATCAGTTAGAATTAACTAATGAAAGAGTGGCATTTTTAGAACAAATTAATACGAGACTTAATGAAGATGTTGCTAGCAAAACAGCGCAATCTGAAGAAGCTTCTCAAACAGTAGAGAATCTTAAAAGCACATTAAAGTATGTTGTATGAAAATTTATTCAATTTGCTTGTAATAATTTATTAATTACGTTGTAAATAATAGAGATTAATTACAATTTAATTAAAATTTTAATATTACATTACTCTCAATATTAAGAAATACATTATAATATATTAATTTTTTTATAATAATTAGGGAAAAAGATGAAGAATTGGTTAAAATATCAAACAAATTAAAAGAAGAAATAGAAGAATTAAAAATGATTAAAGCAAAATTAGAAAATAAATTAAAATCCTTAGAAGAAGAATTAAATAATTCTCAAAATGAATCTCGTAGTTTAAGAAATACAGTTATTGAATTGACAACATCACAAGTTGGTCTTAATGCCCAATTGGAAGTTTCTAAAGTTAGTATTTAAAATTTAATTTTTTAACATATATTAAATATGAGAGAATCAAAATAAAAGGTTCACAATTTATTTTAGTCATTGTTAAATGAAGAGAAAGAAAAGACTAAAATTGCACAAGAAGAAATTGAGCACTTACATAAAATCCTTCAAGATCAAAATAATCATATAGCATCTCTTGAAGTTAAGATTCGTGAAGATGAAATGACAAGACGAATAATGCATAATGCAATTCAGGAATTAAAGGTACTAAAATGTGCATATATTTTATATTATGTTATGACTTTAGAGATGTTTATATTTTTATGTAAAATATAGATCTAATGTCTATCACTTACTTAATTTACTTCTATAGTAGTTGTTAATATTTAAAGTAAAAATTTCTATTAATTAGTTTGTCCTTGACAAATACTGAACACTTCATATAGAAAAATAATATTGAATTAAGATTATTTTCTACTTGGAAAAGGAAACATCATTGAATCCATGGATGAGAGTGAAGTCTATAAATATTTCGGATTCCAACAGGCCAAACTCACAGAACACAGACAAATAAAACAAAATCTAAAAGAATACAATGACATATTAAACTCAATACTAACAACATAGATGAATGCAAAACACATTTAAGGCTATCAAAACATATGTCATTCCAGTACTGATGTATTCATTTGAAGTTATACATTGGGCACACACAGAACTAGGACAACTCCAAAGGAAAACATGAACAATATTAACAAAATACAGCAAACACCATTTTAAGTCATTCATAGAAAGCCTGATTTCCCCATAAACAGGAAGGACAAGGTCTCACAGATATTTTAGATCACTACAAACAAATATATATACTGTGAGAGTTTTCTATAAATAACAAAAAAAAAAAACATCACAATCATACAAAGTTGTAACTTGCAAACAAAAACAGTATCCACAAAACAACATTGCTTTGGATCTAATATACATAAAATTCATAGACATCATCAGGTAGTTTTGGGTTAGGAAAGAGCTCCATGAGAGGAACCATAACTGTCTCAGCTAGAATCATGATAGTACTGTGTTAAACTGCTGACTTTTTCATGATGTCTCTTTGGAGAAATTGAAGGGTTTATGATTGCCATACAAGACCAGGTTGTAAATACACTCCTCAAAAATAAAATTGCAACATCATGAAGGAATATGCATACTGCAGGACCTGTAGAGGTAACTGAGAAATGCAAATGCAACGATATGCAACAGACACCTGTTTATTCAGTAACAAATATGTTCCCCGTGGGCAGCTATACAGGCTGATATACAGTGAGGCCTACTATCAATGAGCCAATTAATGGTTGCCTGAAGTATCCCTTAGCAAGCAGTGAGCATGTCATCTAAGATATATAGTGATGGTCTTTGTTGCACCTCACATTGGACAAGGTCTCACAGGTGTTTGATGGGAGAGAGATCCTGGGAAGGATGTGAATTCCATTCAGGCTGGTGAGAGATCACTGTGTGATGTTTGGTCAGGAATTATCTTGCTGGAACATTGTATCAGGTGCAGTCTGCACCAGTGGCTGAACTACAGGCCCTACAATTCATTTGATGTACTGGTCTGCTGTCATAGTACCAGAAATGTGCACTAAAGTTCTCTGCTGATCAAACATGCCCGGTTTGGGGCAGGTGTGATGCTCGACAAAAAGAGTTGGCACATAGCATTCCCCAGGATACTGCCACATCCATTTATGGCAGTCATTCCTCCATAGACAGAATTGGAATTCATCCATAAACAATACCCAATGCTATTCAGAGGTCCAGTTGTGATGATGACACCATTCCAGACATGCAGTTCTGTGTCAAGCAGTTAATGGCACCCTGGTTGCTGGTTGTCATGCATTCAGCTGATCTTCATGCAACTTGTTGCAAATGGTTTGGGTAGACCCAGATGCACCCATTGACAACAACAGGTGGCTTCAGATGTCACATACCATGGTAAATGGGTCCCAACAGGCCATTCAGCAAATTTGCCAGTCTGTGCACTTTTATGCACCAGTGTGATCCACTCATTTAGCATGTTTGCAGATGTTCCTGTGTTCATTGTGCCACACATCATACTTATTATGCCTATAGTTTTTTTCTTGTACCTGCATTGTACCTGCATCATACCACATATACTGCACAAGTGTCTTGAATCATTAGGGCTTCACAATAATACATACATCATACCACAGAAAGCTGCCATATTAAACACTTGTCATATAGGAAATTTTTAAACACAGATACATACATGAATAGCACGCAAACATAATAGCTTATTCTGTATTTATATTGTGACTTTGGTCTGGATAGGCACTGGTGTATAAGCAAAGTAGGATATCATCTATCAATATTAACACCACTATAATAATAATAATAGTAATAGTAATAGTAACTCTCCCGTGGTCACCACCTGGTCGTGGTGGGAGAGCCCAGTAATTTTACTGATCCATAGGGCAATGCAGGCTGGAGCACAAGCTCCTGGTAGGGACACCCATGCCAGTAAGGTCTATGGGGAGAAATGAAGCTAAGAGTGACCACACACCCACATTCTGTGGAAAAATTTATGATGGTAGTAACCAGATTGAAGTATGATACCGGCTCGGACGTCGCCCAGGTTAACAAGGTCCGCGTTCGTGGGTTAGGCAGAGGCTCACGTTTGAAAAATATGCTCCAGTCTCCCTTGGTTACCGGTGGCGAAAGCAGCGCTGGCCCAAGCATGGCTACTGCAATGCCCTCAACAGATGTGAGGAATCAACCTAGCCTTGGTGTTNGGTAAATATATTTTTTTATTTCCAATAATTTTTTGTAATGAATAGAATCAGTAAAACTTCAAAAAATTGAATATTTAATTAAGTTTTAAATGAAATTTACAGGGAAATATAAGAGTATTTTGCAGAGTGAGACCTTTATTGAATGCAGAAAAACATTTTGGAATGGAACATATTGCTTTTCCTGATTCAGATCAACATTCTATTGAATTAATTCGGAATACAAATATTAACTTGAGTGAGGTAAATATATTTTTTTATTTCCAATAATTTTTTGTAATGAATAGAATCAGTAAAACTTCAAAAAATTGAATATTTAATTAAGTTTTAAATGAAATTTATATGACAAAGCTGATTTTATCTGAAATATTTTATATTATCTGGTATTTCCAGTATGTCCCAGGAAAAGTGTCAATATTTCAAGTGAAAGAATAGACTATTTTAAACAAATAAGTTCATATAAACATGTGCTCTATCCAAAATGATTTCTGAAATAGAGATGATGTAAGTTTATGGCTTCTGTGATGATAGTGCTCCTGCTATTGTTGATTACTATTGGCACTTTCTTACATTCCATAGCATAAGTGTTTTATACAGTTTTCACTTCACTGCATGAAGTTAGATAAAAATATTTGTCCTGATGAAATATGAGCACAACAAAAATATATTAATCATAATAATTACTTGAGTGGTTCATTCATTATAGTGTTTACATTGTATTTCTGTATTAATATAATACTGTATACAATTATGTGCAAGGTTAAAACAAATGTTTAATGCAGGCTGTCAAGTTTGTACACAAAAGCTTTCACTCTGACTCCATCTTCTCAGTCTATGGTGACTCTGATTCTGATTCCTTTATTTACAAATCAATAAAGGAACTAAATAATAAATTTTGATTGATTTATATTGATTGAAATCATGCAACATACAAGACATTTCATCACTGTTATTAATGTGAATTATTATTTTAAAACAATAACCTGTTAAAGTTTGGTCTAAAGGTTATGTCATTTTTTAAAATTTTATTTATTAAAGAAAGTGGAAAAACTCAGCACCTTAAAACTTGAAGAAAAGACAAAATAGAAAATAAGAACATTGAGGTTATATATTTATTAAAATACTATAAAGTATAAAATAATAGGATAAAACAAAGAAACTATTAAGAAAAAAATCAGGAACATCTTACTCTACCAGTTCTCTAACTTTTCATATTAAAACATTGTTTGAATATAAAACATAACCTGAAAAAATAGACTAATCAAATTATTATCTGAAGTTTAAGCACACAGTGGGTGATCAGTTAATGAACATAATCCGTTCCAAGACCGTGTTCCTCAAATCGTTCGTTAACTGGTTATCAATTTACCATAGATTCTTATGGGAATTTGATTAATTTGTCTAGAGACCCCAAAAAATAAATAAAAAATTATATAAGTTATTCTTTCAATCACCATAACAGTGTATTTCTATTAATAGGACTTATCATACTGGTGTATAAGATTACAGCAACTGTTGCTGTAATCTTATACACCAGTATGATAAGTCCTATTAATAGAAATACACTGTTATGATGATTGAAAGAATAACTTGTTTAAATCAAGAACATTGATGCATACTAATTAAAAAATTATATACTTTCTTACTATGTTTATTTATTTGTAGTAATAATAATATCAATCATGTTTTCCCTTGTTTATGGGGCGTTAAAGAATCTGTCCAATGCTGATTGCTTTTTCCTCTTTAGGCTTTTTTGGAAGTAATTAATAGCACTGTTGTTGTAGAGATTACCAAGCCTATTATCCTGAATTATCCTGGCTTGGATGCCATTCTAAGACCATTATTCTGACATCCTCTTACTTCTTCAAAAGATCTTTAATAGATTTTTTTCAGAAGAAAACACATTTCGCTGAGATTCTTGGTTCTTCATTCAAGAGTTCTTGGGGTTCTTCTGACATCAGATCAGTTTCAGGCTATATTATGAGCTCTTCAATGTTATCTTAATTCACCTCCAATTCCAGATCTCTAGCAGTTGTCACAATTTCATCCATAATTTCAGGGACATCATCTCTGTCTCTCTGAATGCAGGAGGGACACAGCTCTTGTTAAGCAGAATTCAACTGTTATTGAATGACTTCTGACCACACTTTTCGAATGAGTTAGTTAGCTTCAAAAATATCAAATTTTTCTTTCCAAAATGTTTTAATGTTGTCTTTGAGGAAAACTGGCATACTTTAAAATACCTTGAATTCTATCTCCTCATGATGATTGTGGAGTTTGTTTTTTCAGTTCTCAAGAATTTCTCACTTTCTCTTGAATGATAGTCAACTAGTATTACTATCATTACATCTTTTATTTCCCTTAATTTTTAACTAAATAAAAAGCAATATCTCCATTTTTTCATGGATAGCACATCTTTGTTTTGCATATGTGATTTTTGTTATTCCTTTAGCTGCTTGAGCTTCTTCATTATATCTTTCTTAGCTAAGATTGTGCTTACTGTAGACCCTGTTCAAGCCATACTGTTTAGCAACATCAGACATCTGACCACTCTGCCTTGACTATTATCTCATTTGGTTTCTATGGTGAGAACAGTTTTTGACACTCCATTCTTTTTAGGCTCCATAGCCTAAAAAGAGTGGAGTGTCAAATCTCTACATAATATTATCAGTTTCTTTTTTTAAATAACAAGTTCACAAAAGCACTTACAAAACTTTAGAGAACCGAAATCAACTAGCACACGAATATCTGATGGGTCAGTTAAACTCTCGCCATGCAAAAACTGATGCAAAACTTAACAAGTGCCTGACAGTTTCACAAAGACCATAAAAAATTCTTTGTCAGTAAGGTAAATAAAAGGCTGGAATTACAAGGAAGAGTTTCAAAGTTAGAAGAAATATTATTCAATCAATATTTGGTTGAGCATTGATGTAGATGTTTTTGCACTCCAAAAGGTTTTGAATTGTCATCTGGAGACATTGACCAATTGGTATTCATTATATTATGTTGCTGCTTCTTGTGTTTGTTCAGAGATGTTTGTTATCCGAACATAAAAATCTTTCACGAAAGTGTTCGTTGTCTGATTTGTTTGCAGTCCGAACTGTTCGTTAACCAATCACTCACTGTATATTATTTATATTACAATTTAAATTTATTTTTAGATTTAAAAATTAGCTATTGTTTTAAAAAATTAATTTTCATTAATATTTGAATGTGCTTAGCATAAATTTAAAATAATATAATTAGTTTATAAACTGAATGTCCATCCAAAGAAATAAAATCTTAATTGGAAAATTGTGTTTGACTCAAGTGATTCTAAGTATTTGGAGTCATTAGAAGTCAGATACATTTATGTATTTCAGTAAAAATTAAGAGTACAGGTAACCCTTGTATAATACAGCACTTTATAGCACGGATTAACTCTAATATGGTTTGAGAATTGGAATCATCCCCATATAATATGGTACTGTTATAGCGCAGATTTACTCTGACATGGTTCAAGAATTGGATAAAACCTTCGTACAACGTGAAATGTAATAAATTTTTACATACTTAAGTACTAATAGTTTACAAAAATTATTATTTTTGTGAACTATTAGTACTTAAGTATGTAAATTTTCTTTTCTTGTCTTCTGTCAATACACATGGTCCTTCTTGAAACTTGTTTCAATGTTGCCAGATCTTGACACTTCTGCTTCTGATGTTGTCAGATGTTTTTTCCTTATTCCGTACTTGCTTTATTCTTCATAAGTGCTTAGCACCATGTAAGGAAATTTATAAAGATCTTTTAACTAGAAAGCAAGCAATCTAAAATTACATACTTTTTGCAAAAGATAAAGCATGGATCTGAAGATAATGCAGAAAAATTTCAGAGGATAAGGATAACTTGCCAAAAAGAAAACGCTCGCAGTTAATTTGCATTTTTCATGAACTATAGAGGGTGCTGCACTTTTACAAAATGACTACTTTATCTGTGTTGCTTGTAACTAGTAATGTAAAATTAATCATATATTACTGTCCGATATAATATATACTGCCTGTAGCTGTTTATCTAGAAATTTTATAGAAGGAGAACAATTATTGTTAGTGGGACACGTCATTATGTAGTATCAAAACAAATGAGTGAGATCGTTCTATACATATTTGTGCCCTTTGTGTTAAAAAACATCAGTTTTGACATTGTCTCATCAGGGCCAGATTTACAAGTAAAAAGCCTCGACTTTCAAAGGACCTCAAACATTTGTACAAAAAAGAAAATTGAAGTCAAATTTTATAATAAACATTTTTTTACAAGCCAACAAAATATATTTTACTGTTTATTTTGTGTAGTATTTTATTAATTTTTTTTCTAAGAATTAACATAAGATCTTTTAAAAAATTGATAAAACCAATTAAAAAGAAAGATTTTTAATGGAATGAGTATAAAAATTTAATTAAATTTAGTTATAAAACAGAAGACTAGTGAAACCTCACATCTTTTTCTTCCAATATTCGTATTAAATCAGAGTCATAGTCTGATTTAATTTTTTTCATTTTATGATTGACTTCTAAAATTGTGAAGGGTTGGTAAGGGGCCTTACAGAGTTTGGCTTAGGGCTTCGAAATGCTTAAATTTGACCCTGTGTCCTACACAAAATTACTGGCATTTTAAACTTTAACAAAATATGTTTTAAAATTGACAGCATAACTTGTTCGTGTAAAGCTGGACAATCGGGAAACTGCCAATTCTTAAGTCTTTTTCAGAATTCAGAGCTCATAAATATAACCAATCAATTTCTGAATAATCATCTGTTTTTCCCATTTTTCGTGTGGGAATAGACGAAAACTTATATTAGGCTCTCGTAAGGCTTTAAAATTGCAATTTGGCACCAACAGTAAGCGTTGCTTTTTCTATTGCTTTTCATCTTTACTGCTGATAATAGACAAGAATGAATCAAATGACCCAGATAGAATAGTTTTGTTTTTAAATACCAGAGGATGAGCATCCAGTGAAAAATGCGAATAGTGCTTTTAGTGATGACGAAGAAAACATTGTTTAATTTATATTAATATGTATCACTTAAGAAAATTTTAATAAAGATATTTATCTTAATTATGAAAATATAATAGCATGTTTTTTAATTTTTGGAACTTAACCCTCCTTTTCATACTAGTTGTTTGTTTCGTATAACACGGATTCGCATAACAAGACAATTTTTTGGAACGTAACTCCCGTGTTATACGGGAGTTACCTGTATTGTATCATTTAACAAGAAAAAACATCATTACCAAACATATTCGAGTTTTAGTTTTAATTTTTGAATGGATTTAATTTATACACAGTAGTTATTAACAACTTAACAAGTCATTGATTACATAAGAATTTATTTTATTTTTTCAAATAATGACAATCCTAAATTAAATGAGCAACATTTAATTTAAGATGCAGAATCAGAGATTATTTTATTCATTTTCATTTTAGAGTTAGAATTTTAATAATTTGCTTTTTGTTATTTTTACTCACTTTAATAATGTTATAGAAACAATTTTTAAATTTAAACAAACTGTTCATGAATGTAATTTTTCAGAGTTTAGCTCATGGAAAAACCAAACCAGGGATTAAAATAAAGTTTACATTTGATCGAATATTTGAACCATCATCATCTCAAGCTGAAATATTTAATGAAGTTTCACAATTAATTCAATCTGTGCTGGATGGATACAATGTCTGTATTTTTGCATATGGACAGACTGGATCAGGAAAGACATACACTATGGAAGGCCCAGAAGATATTATTGATTTTAATATTGAATCTGAAAATGAACTTGGTATAATTCCTAGAACTATTCATCAAATATTTGATTCTGTTCAAGACTTGAAAGAAAAAGGTTGGAAGGTAATAAAAATTTTACTGTTTATTTTGAAAATAATTTCTAACTTTGAAATATAGTATCAATGATAGTATTTATTAATCTCTAATTATAAATTGTATTATGAGTATAAAAATGTCATAAAAATCTTTTCCATTTATTATTTTTTGGCTATTTTAATCCTTTATGATCATATTAATTACATTTGCAAGTTAGTTCATCCTGCTAATGAGGTTATATAAAATTGATAATGAATTTTCATTATAACTCAAGTTTTCATTTTTTTCAATAAATTGATCATTTTAAATGTTTACTTTTATGTAAACATTTAAAATGATCAATCATTATTTTATTTTATTATTTTATTTAAAATGATCAATCATTATTTTATTTTATTAAATTTTTATAAAATTTAATTATGTACACTTTTTTATTATTTTAGTATGAACTGGAAGCTTCATTTTTAGAAATTTATAATGAAACCATTAGAGATTTGTTGTCAATTCATACAGATAACAAATGTGAAATTAAAGCTTTAGGATCAAAAGGAAAAGATATACATGTGACAAACCTTACTTTGGTGAAAGTTACATCTGAAGAAGTGGTACGTATAGTTTTTGGATATAAAGATATAAAAAAAATTTTGGTGTAATTTATATATTAAAAATCAGTTATTTTAAATAGATTCAAACTTTATTAAAAAGAGCTCATAAGAATCGATCAGTTGCATCTACACAATGTAATGAACATTCTTCTCGTTCCCATTCAGTCTTTCGATTAAAATTAAATGGATATAATGAAATTACAAAAGAAGAATGTGAAGGTATGTTTAAATTATTCAAATAAAAAGTTTAGTTAGTAATAGCTGGCTATTGAAAAAATTATTTCAAAATGAATATTAGGAATGAATAAATGAGGAATTAATCCTTTTTAGTAATAACTGTGAAGTATTTTCTCCAAATTTTTTTTTTCTTTCTTTTTTAATTTTTATGCATTAACAGTTCTATTTATTCTTCACTTATTTATTAAGAACTTATATTTTAAATGTTGTTACTAACATATAAATAATTGCATTAAACATTGTACAAAAATCTTTATAATTTACACAAGAAAAATGATTTTGTGAATAATTGAAATAAGTATTTTTGGTAAAGATAGTAAACATGAAATGAAAGAATTAATATAATATTTTCAATTAGGAATGTTAAACTTAGTTGATCTAGCGGGTAGTGAACGTCTGAAGGAGTCACACTCTGAAGGGAATCGTCTCCTAGAAACAAAAAATATCAATAAATCATTATCAAATCTTGGTAATGTTATTATGGCCTTGGCTCAAAAGGTATGATGTAATTTGTAATTTTATGTGAAAATTATTTCTTTATTAATTGTATTTTCTTACACTGGTTGTTTTTTATTTAGGCTGATTATATTCCATACAGAAATAGTAAACTTACTCATTTATTGATGAACAGCTTAGGTGGAAACAGCAAAACTTTAATGTTTGTAAATGTTTCACCTTTGGAAGAACATATAAATGAAACTATCAATTCTTTACGATTTGCAACAAAGGTATGCATTATTTTCATTTTAATATCACTTCAATAATAATATATTTTGTTATCATTATTTTTCTTGATAAAGAAATCAGTAAACAAAAAAATCAGTTATAAAGAAATGATTTTTATAATAATTGCTAAATTTATAAATCAATATTATGTACAGATTAATCACCAATTTTCCAGTACACTTGGTTCCAAAAACTTTGATTAATAATTTTCCAGATTAACTGAGGTCACATAATAATTCAATAATACATTCTAGATCACAAATTACATTCCCCCATATCTAAAGCACTATGGAATGCTAGAAACTTAAAATAAAAACATGCATTAAATGTGGACTGGTGTTTGTTTTATACAGCTGACATTTGCATCTTTTTAGAAGTTGTCACTAGGATTAATTGTAAGTAACTTAGCTACAAACTACAAAGACCAGAAAGATCACCAACTGCTTCAATGTTCTAATTGACATTCTAAGTGCATGTTTGTTACATGCAATGATAATTGTAGTTGTTCAGTGAATAAGTCTGGCAGTTGTGGGAATTGTAAGTGTCCTCTTGTAATTCTGTCCAGATTAATTAAGAGGTATCAGATTGTAAGATGTTGGAAAATCAGTAGTGAATTTGTGCATCATATATCTAATGACCTAGACAGTTATAACTTCTGATCCTGAGTTAGCTTTTTATTTATTTATTGATAAAATTTTATTAGTTAAATATTTATTTATTGTGGAATAATATGACATCATTATACTATCATTTTCTTACTATATATATATTTCTTTAAATATTTTATGGGCTTTCCAATATAATCAAAAATAAAAATGAAGTAGCTTCATTTTTATATTCCATCAGTAGTAGTATTTTTCTGTACATCATACAGCAGGGGTGGCCAACACGTGGCGCATGCGCCAAACTTGGCGCATTGGACGATTACAAGTGGTGCTTCAGTCGTATCCGAGCTACATTGCCGGATTCGACTGCACTGTGTGCACATTTCAGTGGAGTCGATCTGTTGAACTTTTTTTTTTTTTTTGCTTGTACAGTACGTACACCACTGATGTCATATAGAACTACTTTATACGGGTGGCTTAGCTACTCGTGTAAGATAGTTCTCTAATAAATTATAGATTATAAATAGTTTATTCTTATAAATTAAAGTACCTAATTAACGGGTGACCGAAGTTTTTCTCCGCCCCGGGCTGCTAACACTCACGGTACGTCACTGCGCATCTGAACTCGTCTGTCAAAAAATTGGCGCATGGTATGCAAAAGGTTGGCCACCCCTG